GGGAGAACCCAAAGGACATTTCAACACTCATAATTAATCAAGAGCTTTGGGTGGTGCTAATATGTCTGGGAGAGTCAGTTTGGTACAGTTTGATAAGTCATCAGGCTGGAGACTGGGAGATCCTAATCCTGCTTTGGGCGCACAATGTCAGCTGGGTGACTTTGAGCCAGTCACTTTCTCTCAGCCCTAGGAAGGAGGGAATGGCAAACGACTTCTGAAGAAGTTTGCTGTAAAACTGCAAAATAAAACAAAATTGCCCAGGCAGTTTCCAAGAATTAGACAAAATTGGAGTGGAAGAAAAAAAACATGACTGACCAAATTGTGAAATTAGAAGTTTACTATCATATAATCCGTTCTGCAGTTTTAAATATTCCAAATTCCTCTTGTAGTAGTTCAAATTAGTTTAAAAAACCCACACAAATTGATTTAGAAGATTATTAGCCCACTTAGCTGATGAACACAAATAAATAGATAACCCTTTTCAAATTGGGATTATTACAGTCTATACATTTATTATTAGAATAAGGATCAAAATATGTTTTTATTCAAATACATTCTAAATATTCTTTACAGCTTTTCCTGCTGGAAATATAATTCTATTTTGACTAAAACAGGATGATGTTCCTGCCCAAGAGTCCCAGGAGAAATATAATAGCTTTCTAATGGTACCCATTGTGTATTGTTTTTTAATTTGATCACATTGAAATACATTTTAGATGGGAACCTGCCATGTTCTGAGCCAGAGAGAATTCCTAAAACCATTAGAACAGCCCTGTCCTTAAGTCATTTGCTACAGCATAGCTGCTACATTGCAAATTGTTCAGAAAGCCTTGGGTCTACAATCATGTTTTTATACAATTAGCAGCCCCTGGATAGCCTACACAATCTTGACCAAATTTTTTTTTGTTATCTAAAGCTATTAGCTACCGGGGGAAACTCCCATTGGTCTATTGGTGTAACATTCTTGAAATGGAAGCAGATATTTCAGGGGGAAAAAATAATTTGGTGATTGTATCTTTCCTACAGTTCTGATTTTCATTACCAAGTTACAAATGTAAATCACTTTAATATCATTACCGTCATACTGAACTTCATCATAAGAACATGTAGTTCTGTGTCTTTCCTTTTTAGCTCAGAACTGGAATAACAATTTTTAGCAGTTTCGTCCCCACCCCAAATGTTAAGCATGCAGGAAGGTAACAGCATACCGTGTTTTGCCTATGCTCTGTGCTGCGGCATGATGTTATGCTGGCCACATGACTGTGAAAACGTCTCCAGATAATGCTGGCTCCTTGGCTGAAGAAGCAGAGATGAGCACTGCCCCCTAAAGTCAGTCATAATAGCAGGGTAAAAACCTGCAGGGACACCTTTACCTTTACCTTATCATCCCCATCTCATCCTACCTGGTTTCTTTAGGCAGAGATCAAGACATATAGTTTAAAACCGAAAGGGAGATTCATTTTCATTTGCTTCCTCAGTTACATATTTACTATTAAAGGGTATGATGGTATAAAAAAAGATTATTATTAGATCCCCTAATAGTCTTAAGAGAGTCAAAGGAGTCAAAACATTTTTACAGACTATCAATCTGCTATCTTCCCTTTCCAAACTAATATAGAACTTTCTGACATTTTCTGTATTTAATTAATTAACGGATTAATTATATTTCTTTTTGGAGCCTACAATAAAAATTAAGGCATTCAGGTAAGTTGGGTGTGCACCTATCCTGTGAGAATGCCATTATTAACATTACATACCTTTAAAATATAAATCAGAGCTAAACCGTAAATATTTATTTGTTTATCTTATATATAGGCACATTGAAGATCAACACAAAGCACTTAAGGCAAGTGCGAGATATGATCATTGTCTAATTGATCTCAGGGGAACTTTTCAGATGAGGTACATTTCTAACTTCCACCTAAGCAACCAAAACAAAATCCTTGCTCAAAACAAGATGGGAGGAGAAAGAAATATTTTATCCAAGCTACTTTGCCAATTCAGTTTTTAAGATACTTTAGTTAAAAAGCCTTTTCTCTCTCCCCCCCCCCCAAATCTATCAGTTTCTACTATCCATGTACCACTGTTGTCTGGTTCTGAAAGTGAAAAGTGTTTGCAATAGTCTGTACATGAATCATATTGGCAAGTACAAGCAGAGAGAAATGGCACAGTGAACAAGTAACATGTTTGGGGAAGCTAATTATGGATCTTCAAGACAAGGAGCCCTGAAGTCTTTGCTCGCAGTGCTACACAATTACATAACACTAATGCTATTTGATCACATTATGTAGAAAAATAAACACAGCTGCAGAAGTATCTGGAGAAAAAAATTATGTGGATCTCTCTCATCTTCATTGCTTTGGCCTACTTCTAGTGCTGTTCTAATTGCATGCCTGGCTTTGAGGAAGATGTTTTTGTCCAACTAGTTTCCCATGAGAAATTATGGTTTTAGCATGGGTAAAATAAAACCAGAAACCGGTATAAATGATAATAGAGACTGCATTCTCACTTCACTTTTAAAAATATTTTAAACTATAGTTTTTGGATAATCCATAGTTTGCACATTGTACTAAACTATAATGAGCATACCTATTCATTACGTGAAATCAAAAGTGAGATGTGGTACTACATTTTGATTCACACTAGACAAAAAACAAAAAACTCGGCAGCCAAAGCATATTTACTCAATGACATTTATTCCATTATGCAGATATTTTCATTGTGCCAGAAGCTTGATTCTACTTCAAGCCCAGCAGAATGTTCTAAAGCTTCAAACAAATCTTATTCACATTTGTAGTTAATATAATAGAAAACTATGCAATTGTGAGCAATTAAGTGAACGGGATTGCATTGTCAAATATTCTTGATTAAATCTATCCTCAAGCATTGGACTATGAAAGAGGCTGATTTTTTTGGTCTGGCACCTAGGGGGAAGGGTACATTTGATTTTACCTATGTTTTTATGGATTGTTGTGAGCCAGCTAGAGTATTATGAGATAGATGGCCACATAGGTCTTTTAAGTAAACAAATACTTTATCTTTTGTAATTAAATCTAAACAATCCAATTCTGAAATTTGAAGCATGCTACTTGAAAACAATGTAGAAGTGTTTAAGGAAAACTAAATTCCATTAATTTTACTTTTGCAATGCTTAATTTTCAATCTTCCCAAATTAATATTTTTGAGAAAAATTTGCAAAATATTGATGCAGTACCTGTAAGTTGAAATTTCTAATCATGTTTATTAAACTGCCAACTGTTCAAGATAGCAGACCATGTCAAAAAATTTAGGGGTCTCATTGGAGTTCAATTAATAAGATGATATCTATCCAGAAGTTCTGCTTACCAACCACCAGTGCTACTTCTCATTATTATTATTTGCAGCTCTCCAGACCAGGGGTCCTCAACCCCCAGCCTGTGGCTGTGTCCCGTTCGGACCTGGGCCATGCAAGTGGTGGATGAGCGCACAGGCACAACTCCACTTGCCCACTGCTTGCACAAAAGGAGCTGCGTGCACTCATGCGTACACCTGCCACTGACACAGAACCATCCCTTCTCTCTCCGACCAGACTGCCAAACTGGAAAGATTGGGGACCGTAACCGTTGCTCTAGACATAATCTTAAATCCTATCCTAGCTGCTTCACACTAGTACAGTTATCTTTCTATCTTAACATAGTTGCAAGAGAACAGCAAACATTTCTGTACAAAAATATTTGTCAAGGATCTTTGGATACGTCAATTGAGTTCCACGATTTTCAACACTGCTGCTTACTGCCTACAACAATATTGATATCTGAAACTCCAGGATAGAGGATAGAAGAAAATATCATATTTGGCCAAGTTGATCCCCTACTGGGTCTTTCTTTGCCAACATTTTATTGTAGTTGTATATAAAATATTCAGTCCAGGCGCCATATATTAAGATAAAAATATACAGTGCTATTACCAATGCTGGGTCCATTACACTCAACTTTGGGAAATAGGGACAACTGCTCTGTTTATATATATAAAAAGCTATTCTAAACAATAAGAATGTATAAAGCATGTATTGAATCTGTGACGGGCAATAATCCTCTACACATTCACTTGGGAGAATGCAGGGACAAGCGGGATCTTGGCATAATCAATGTGTGTTTCAAAATTTGATTATCATTTCTGATGGTTTCTTTTTAAAAGCACAGCATAGCTCAAAATGTTCCCAAATATAAACCATATGGTTTATATTTGTCTATTTGTCTATTAGAGACAATTGAAACCATATGGTTTCTATTAGGGATAATTGCCTTAGACAACAAATTAAAATGCTTCTGAGTGTTGTCACTTACCAGCAAGTTCATCAATATTTTATTTATATTTAAGAAAGTCAAAGCAACATACAAGATAACTCCATTGCACCCTATTTAATTAATGTAGATCAATGACTCCAATTATTTATAATTTCAATTATAATTTACATAGATAACTTCAATTAATATTTTAATAAAATTAATCCTTATAGGCAAGGTTGCCATATACGACTTTGGTCGGTGTTATCTTGGATCTCAATGAAAACTAGATCAAAAAAATCTACAGTGTGTGACATGTGGTTTCTTGCATAAAAGCCAATATAGCACAGAAAACTCCAAAAACGGACGTTGCTTACCTGAACGTCCCTTCTAGGCGTGCTGCTGGAGAATCCAAAAGCGAGGGTTATTCAACAGTCTAGCAGTCAACACTGAGTGTATGTGTCTTTAAATTTTTTGGACACGCCCCCTTTGCTCATCAGAGGCTCAGTTTTTGTTCACAAAGAAACAGTTCAAGGAGACGTGTGTAGTTCCAGATTCAGTAGCCTTACCAGGCGGAATGGATTCTCCAGCAGCGCACCCAAAAGGGATGTTCAGGTAAGCAACGTCTGTTCTCCAGCATGCTGCTTGGAGAATCCAAAAGCAAGGGACATGCCCAAGCAAGTTTTACATAGGGAGGGCGGAAGGCTGCGCATGCGTGACCGGAGCAGAACACACAGCTTGCAGAACTCGCCGACCGAACGAGGTGTCAGCCAAGGTGTACGTATCAACTCTATAGTGGCGGATGAAAGTATTCAGCGACGTCCAGGTTGCTGCCTTGCAGATGTCAGCGATGTTGGCCTGAGTCGCCCAAGCAGCCGTGGTGGATGCACTTCGTGTGGAATGAGGTAGGATCCTGCCGGGAACCGGCTTGTCCTGAAGCATGTACGCCTTGGAAATGCAGGCTTTCAGCCATCTCCCGATGGTGGACGAGGAGACCTTTTGTCCCATCGTCGCGGGCAGAAAAGAGACGAACAGCGCCTCTGACTTATGGAAATGCCGAGTCCTCCGAATATACCTGTGTAAGGCTCTACGGACATCTAATGTGTGCCATTGGGCCTCTTGCGGATGTCTTGGGTCCGGGCAGAAGTCCGGGAGAACCAATTCCTGCTGACGGTGGTACAGGAAATTGACTTTAGGCAGGAACGATGGATCAAGCTGAAGGACCACCTGGTTAGGGTAGAAAGTGCAGAGGTCCTCCCGTACGGATAGGGTGGCCAGCTCGGAAACACGGCGGGCTGAAGTGATCATGACCAAAAAGGCAGTCTTTAAGGTGATAAACCGCAGGTTGACGGAGCCTAAGGGCTCGAAGGGGGGCTGTGTAAGCACATGAAAGACCAGGGACACGTCCCAGGTCGGGTAGCGGTGAACGACCGGAGGTCTTAGGTTCGCTGCATCGAGAAACCCCCGGATCCTCGTGTCATGCGAGAGAGGTAAGTCGTTCCTTGCTGAGAGGACCATAGACAAGGCTGCCACTTGTCGACGGAGCATGTTCGGGGCAAGCCCCTTGTCCAGTCCGTCTTGGAGAAAATCTATCACCTCAGCGACAGATGCGGAGATAGGGTCCGTATGGGCCCAGGAGTACCAAATGCAGAATGAAGTCCAGGTGGCGTTGTAGACGCGACACATGGAGGGACGTCGTGATTCCTGGATAGTAGAGATAGCCTTCCCTGAGATGTTGTCCCGTCTCAGAAGGATCCTCTCAAATGCCAGGCGGTCAACTGCAGCCATTGGGGCTCTGGGTGCAGTATGACCCCCTGGCTGAGAGAAATCCTGTCGTCCGGAATTCGCCATGGAGGGGCGACTGACAGATTCAATAGGTCCGCGTACCAGACCCTCCGTGGCCATTGTGGAGCGATAAGCAGGACTTCTGCCTTCTTGCGCAGGATCTTGCGGACGAGTCGTGGAAAGGCGTATAGCAGCCCCGGAGGCCAGGGAATTGCGAGTGCGTCGATCCCCTCCGCTTGTGGACAAGGGTGGCGAGTGAAGAACTGAGGGAGCTGGGCGTTGTCCCGACGGGCGAACAGGTCGATTACGGGGGGGCCGAAGTGGTGGGACAGCTCGCGGAAGATGTCCGGGTGAAGGCGCCATTCTGAGTTGTCTATCTGCGTTCTGCTCAACCAGTCCACGGTGATGTTCGTCGTTCCGGAGATGTGTTGTGCCCAGAGGGAGAGGAAGTGGCACTCCGCCCAAGTCAGCAACCAGGATGCCTCGTCCATCAGTGATTTCAAGCGGATGCCCCCTTCGCGGTTAACGTGTGCCATCATTGTCACGTTGTCTGTCTGGACCAGCATGTGGTGACCCTCCACCAATGACTGGAACTGGAGGAGGGCGAAGTGAACCGCGCAAAGTTCCAGCCAGTTGATCTCATTCTGGCGATCTGCCGGCGACCAACTGCCCTGAGCAACTTGGGAATGCATGTGAGCGCCCCAGCCAGTCAGGCTGGCATCATTATCGTGAGACGATGCGGTTCCAAGGCACAGCCCTTCGTTAGAGCTAACTAAGTCCACCAGCGAAGAGACCCGCGAACCTCTGTCGGGAGGGATACCCCGAGCCCTGGAATTGCTGCGGCAGGAATGCTGGTACGGGAGCATGAACCATTGAAGCTGGCGACCATGAAAACGTGCCCACGGGACAATGGAGATGTATGAAATCATCTTCCCGAGAAGACGAGTCAGGAGCAAGAGAGGGACGGACTGGAGCGAGAGAATTTGACGAATCAATGTCCAGATGTTGTGGCACCGGTCCGGGGACAGGAAGATCAGCCCTTTGCTGGAATCTATAACGGAACCCAGGTGTAAGATCCTGGTAGTGGGGCACAAGTGGCTCTTCGGCAGGTTCAAGGAGAAGCCGTGGTGCTGAAGGCAGTGGCAAACCGTGGCCAGATCCCATGCGGCTTGGGTCTGTGTGGATGACAAGATGAGCACATCGTCCAAATAACAAAGTACTCTGATTGGCATCTGCCGAAGATGTGCAGCTAAGGCCGACAGGAGCTTTGTAAAGGTCCTGGGTGCAGATGAAAGTCCGAAAGGCATCGCCCTGTATTGAAAATGCCAATGATTGTAAGAAAAGCGGAGGAAATGATGTTGAGAAGGCCGGATCGGGATGTGGAGATAGGCTTCCTTGAGGTCCACTGAGGTCATCCAATCTCCCTCCTGGATGCATCCCAAGATAGATTTCAGGGATTGCATTTTGAACTGATGATAGAGGATGCATTTGTTCAGTTCTTTGAGGTCCAGGATCCCCCGGCAGCCTCCGGAGTGTTTTGGAACCAGGAAAAAGATTGAATAAAAACTGGTCCCACGGTGTTCTGTGGGAACCGGCTCTATGGCACAAAAGTCGATGAGATGTTGTATCTCTGCCTCCATCAGTCGACGTTTGGTTGGGTTGGATGACCCAGGGCACTGGATGAACCTGTTGTGGGGGTAGGATCGAAGCTCCAAGGTCAATCCCAGCTGGATCGTCTGGAGTACCCATGCGTCCGACGTTGTCGATTCCCATTGGGCTGCGAAGTGCTGGAGGCGGCTGCCAATGGGAAGGTGATGGAGGGCGTCATTTGCCTCTTCGAAAGGCACGGGTCCCCGCACCTCTGAAAGGGCATTTGGGTGGGGCCGAGTGCCTGCCACAATCCCGGAAGATCTGTCATAGGGACAATCAAATCCATGGGAGTATTGTCTTGTGGCGAAGGACCCATTGGGTCTGGGTTCAGTTCGAAAGGGCTGCCTCTGGCTGTATGAAGGTATTTTGCGCTCGGTCTGCCAGTAGGACAAGGGCATGACTTTGCGCTTGTCCTTATCTTCCACAAGAATCAGGTCTAACGCCTCTCCGAAGAGATGAGTCCCTTTATATGGGGCTGATACAAGCCTCCACTTTGACTTCATGTCCGCTCTCCAGTGCCTCAGCCACAGCAGGCGCCTGGAAGTCACAGACGAGACCAGGGCACAAGACGCGAATTTGGCAGCATTGAGTGAAGCATCAGCAGAATACTCTGTGGCCGCAACAATCTTATTGATGTCTTGGTGACCCTCGTGTCCTCCGGTGGCAAACGCTCTTGGAGTTGGTGCAACCAAATGAGGGTCTCCCTGTTGAAAAATGATGCCGAGGTCGCCACCTTGACTGCCCAGGCTGCCACGTTGTGTGTCTTGCGGACTGTGAGTTCCGCCTTCTGGTCCTCTGTCCAAAGGCCGTTGGCGATGTTGTGAGACAGGAGCGAGGCGGATGAAGTCAAGTTCGCTACAGGCGTATCCACTGCTCCAGACGTCCTGGAGAGACGGGGCTGAACAGTATAACTTACGGTCAAGACTGGTAGGTGCCGGCAAGGAGGACGGCAGGTTCCAGGAACGTTGCACAACTTCTGTGAAAAGTTGAGGACACAGAATGTAGGTTTGTTCCGTTTTAGGAATGTTAAACAGAGTATTGTGCGGTTGCGATGTTGTTGGCGGATCGGAGAGACCCTCTGAGGTGGCCAAATGAGTAGATGACTTTGCCTTGTGCAATAAGGACTTAAATAGAGACGGTCGGAATAGACCAGTAAACGCCGGCCTGTCGGGAAAGAGGTCATCATCGTCGGAAAACTCCATGTCCCTTTGGGCCTCCTCATCCTCCAGAGAGGAGTCCTCAGCTTGAGCAGAGTCCAACTGAGACGAGCAGCGGTCTGCCTGATCATCATAGTGAGAGACTTGAGGAGCCGGAGGAGGCGGCGGGGGCGGTGAAGGTGGTGGCGGAGGAGGAGGAGGGGGTGCAGCCATTGAAACCGGTCTGTACAAATTAGGTTGGTGTGCGCTAGCAGCCAAAGTCCTGGATATAGTTTGAGAAATGAGATTCTCTATGTCACATGCTAACATGACATGTGAAGGACCCCCCGGGTGGAGCCCTGCGGCCGTGGGTAAGTAGCCTCCGAAGGAGGGCGCTGAGCAGGTGGCCGTGTATGAGACAAATCCACTGGAACTGCTGTGCTATGCGAGAGGGAAGCGGGAGAATTCACCACTGCGGGCATTGGAGAAGAACCAGTCACAGGAGAGTGACCCTGGCACCTAGAAGGCATGATCCCTGAAGGGGAGGCAGAAACCCCTACAGGGCCGGCAGCTGGAATGATTGCAGGCGAGGCCATTGACTGAGCCTGTCACTGAGCCCGATCAAATTGTCGCTCGAGTGCCTTATGATGTCTGTCGGCATCCTTGGCAGCAGCCGATGAGGCTCTGCAGCTCCTCGTTGAAACAGCCGGAGCTGTGGCAGACTCGTGCTTATCCTGCTTTCTTGGCTTTTTCTTTGCAGGGCCTGGGAAAGCTGGAGCCTCAGAAGGTCCAGGGCTGTGCTCCAAGTCGTAAGAAAGCTCACAGTCATCCATGCTGAGAAGTGCTGAAGACATGAGTAGAAAAAAAGGTAAGCAGGTGCTTGGCACAAATGAGAAAAATACATGTCCTATGGAATTGATGTTTTCCATATTCCTTTTGTTTATTATTTTATTTTATTTATTTTATATTATTAATAAAATCAAGGAGCCTGGTTTAGCTCAACAGACAGAAGCATTGTAATTTAATACCGGCTGTCTGCAATTAAAGTAAGATCAAATCTCGCCAGGCTCAAGGTTGACTCAGCCTTCCATCCTTTCTAAGGTAGGTAAATTGAGGACCCAGTTTGTGGGGGCAATAAGCTGACTTTGTATAAATATACAAAAGTATGAAGGCTATTGCTTAATGCACTGTAAGCCGCCCCGAGTCTCCGGAAAAGGGCGGCATATAAACCATTTTTTTTAAAAATATATATATATTTCCCTTTTTTTAAAAAAAATTATGTCATTAATTTATTCTTATTTCCAGAAGGTTGCTTGGGGGTAGTGGCTCCCCCCCCACTCCTTTCCTTGCACAGTCTGTCTCAGACCTGTGCTAGAAGGAAAAAACACCAGCTAGGCAAACAGCAATCATATATAAAGGTGGGCTGCATTGATTACACCAATATAGGAAATACCAGAAGGACTGTAACTTGCAGACAGCCTTCCAACAGCAGAGGGCACCAGAGTGGCTGCTTAATCATTGCTGACTACTGGCCCTTAACACATGCTGAGTATTCCCTTTCAGCTATTTCTTAAGTGCTGGTGATTAATTACAGAAGCCCCAGCTGCAATTGCAGACCTGTAAGGGCAAGAAACAGCGCAGGGAAGCTCGCTCCGCAGCTGCGGTGCTGTTGTCAGGCAGAACTGCAATAGGAATGCAGTCTACGCTTGCTCAGCCTTTTCCCGGGCAAAAACCAATCAGGAGACTTACTGCGCCTGCGCAAGCTGTTGCTGGGCAGAAAATGGTCAAAAGGAGCGGAAAGCGTGCTCCGACATAATGGCGGCCTCTGAAACCCCAGCGCTGGCGTGAAAAACGTGCGGATCGGTTGTAGGGACGATCCGACCCATCCACACAGTGACAGGCATGCAGCTGCTCAGAAGTAGCCCTCGCGCCAGGAAAATGAGTGAGTAGGAAGAGTGTGCCACTGAGAGCAGGGCAGGGACTCTAAAGCGGCAAAAAGGGCTTCGAAGGGATATGAGTATGCCGCTGAGAGCAGGGCAGGGACTCAATAGCCGCCCCAACAATCACAATGGGAAAATTAAACTAGAAGGTTCCCTGGCAAGGCAGGGCTTCTTATCTATTTGTAAATATATATGGCCAGACAGGGTGTAGGCCAGAAGACTCACCCAGCAGTCGCCAAAGAGAAGCAATATAAAGGGAAAACTCCCTTTATTTCCAAACCAATTCAAAAGTGCCAAATCGAAATCCAAATCAAAGTAAGTCCAATCCAAGGTCAGAATAGAAGAATCCAAAAGCGAAGAATTTATTCAAGGTCTAGACACCAGAGATGTGTAAAACAAGTCTGATTAGCTGACTGAGTGAATAAAAACTGAGCCTCTGATGAGCAAAGGGGGCATGTCCAAGAAATTTAAAGACACACACACTCAGTGCTGCTAGACTGTTGAATAACCCTCACTTTTGGATTCTCCAAGCAGCGCGCTGGAGAATGTTCCATCTCTAGGAATTCTCCAGATTTGTGACATACAGATCATGTGCCATATAGTCTAATCAATTCATTGCACAACTCAATTGTGTACTCACTATTTTATGTTGTGATAAAGAAATCATACAATAAAAGAGCAGAATCAAGTCATAAGCATTTTACAAAAGATTTAGTTTTTACCAGTTTGCAAATTCCAAATATTTTATTAGTTACCAAAATGTTATTTCTATAGATTTGATCAGCTGACACAAACAAGATACTGTAGCTACTTTCATAAATTAAAATATATTTGGAGTGCAATCTTATGTTGCTTATGCAGATGTAAGTTCACTGAGACTTATACTCATGTTCAAATGGACAGCAGCCTTTAAATGAATATAGGGTTGCTATGTGAAGATATTCATTTTTGGTTAATTAACACAAAGAACAAACTAGGATACAATAAGAGTAATTAATTTTGTTCTATGTATACTTTGGTAAAGATGGACAGCATAGAGAAGTTCTAGGTCTTTTTTTATGGTTCATCCTAAAATCTACCTAAATGTGAAATATGTTTTCTAGTATTTTAATTCATAACATCAGAATAACAGATGTTGTGTATTTATTTTATGTCTGTAAGACCTTAAATGCTGTAGTCAGTATTTGGAAAACACTGTTTTGGCCTGAACTAGAACAACAGAAACATCTTTGGCAGCACTTTTGTACCAATAGAAGGAAATTTCCAGTGTGAAATATCATTCAGTGCTACCTTTTAAACCTAGTTTGCTCCTGCAAATTATATTCATTTGATTTCCATTCTGTTTTTCATTCAGGGGTCAAGGGGAATGCACAGTGCTCCCTCCTCCCATTTTCCTCCACAACAACACCCTTAGGAATATGATAAAGATATAAAAGTTAGACTTGTCATTTTTTCCCCCTTCATGCAATAGAGCAAGCCATGACAGAGCTCTGATATGTGGAAGTTTCATTTCTTTAACTGCTTTGTTAGTCAGAAGCAGTTGCCAAGCACTGAAGTATTTAGAACTGTCTGGGCATATTACACAAACACCATAATATACACAAATAACTTTTTTTTCCAAATTCAAAAACAATTTTATTTAACATTTCGCATTTCAACACATTTAAAATAGCATACTCTATTTAATTTAAATATGACTGACAGCGCTTTACAAATGTTTCTTAAATATTTTTAAGAAAATATTTTGGTCTTCCATTTAAACAATAAATACAGGCACTTCTACATGTACAAAGACAGCAAATGCTGTTTGAATTGTCAGATATAACACATATGAAGATATAGCAATATAGTGATTTGAGACTTTTAGAATCTATTCCTTCCGAAATAGACACAATAACCTTAAAGATTTTTTTTTAAAAAAATGGTATCTCAATTATCACCATTTTCATGAGATTCTCACTGACATAAAATTAGATCTTTTAAATGCACAGTCCCATATTAGAGATGTTTCTACCATCATTAACTAAAATATTATTTAATGAAGTGATAAAGGATTTGGAGTTAAAGGTGGGAAACTAAGCTGCAAAAAAACCTCTTTAATTATGATATTTAAGTTATTATGGAAGTTAAATTGGGAAAATAAGAGCAAAATTTAACAGCAAAATCTCTATAATTTCTCATCTCAGGAAAGATGATGGAATCTATCACCATAATTTAATTACAGTATCAGAAGACGACCAATTTATTGAATATATTTTGACTAATCAGTCTTTAAAATTACACCAATCACAACTTTGGAAAGCTTCAATTTTTCAAAATTTTAGGACAGAACTATGAGAATATTTTCATGCCATATCTTCTGATGTGCACTCTTGTAGTTGTAATCTCACTTTTAGAAGTACTAGACAATGTTACTAGCTAATTTTGGTTTACAAAACAAGCCACCAATTGAAGATAATATGCTTACCATTTAGCCAAAGAATTTAAACTGAAATTTAGGAATAATTTTTGGACACATACATTTTTAACAACTTAAATGTGGATCTTGCAAGTTTGTCCAGATTTTAATCATTTCTTGAGGATTCCGGTTGTGAACTAACATTAGGTTTGTATAGGAGCATATATTGTCCCTCTGTTTCTCTTCAATGTCAAATGTTTTGAAGCCTTTGTGTTTTTCTGGAGAAAGCCCAAGTCTCTGAAGGCACATGCCAATGTACACATCATCAATAGGATAAAGAAGGACTTGGTCAGATATGTTAGCTAATCTTAATGCCAGATCACCAGAATAAAGAAATCCGCCACCTCCTGCATATGGAGGATAAGAGCCTTCATAAATACTGTGTGGGATATAGTATTTCACATTTGTATCACGATGAGGTCCAGCATCACGGATAACATCACCTATGAACAAGTCTTTGGCTTTTTCTTTAGTTAAACTCTTCAAGTAATCCAGGATCTGATGGGTATTCACAAAAACATCATCATCTCCTTTGAAAATAAACTGAGCATCAGGGCAAGTGTTACTGACCCATTTTAGAAATAGTACCTCTTTTAGAGTCAAATTGAAGAAAGTATCTCTGTAGTTCCACAGAAGTATGTCTTGGTGGGTTTCGCTCTCAAATTTCAACATATCTGACAGATTGGGATAGTGATCTTCAGGAGGAATTTGACCTAATAGGAAAACTCTTACAATAGTTATGTCTCCTAATTTAATTTCCTTTCCCCAAGATTCCCGGATTGCTTGCCTTCTATCAAAATGTGATATAAGCGATTTAATAGCCAGAAGCAAAAAAGGTTTATGTTTGCACTTGTGTGGCTGATCTACTAATAATGAATAATTTCTACATCTTAAATAATGAAAAAAGTCTTTAAACCTATCTGGTAAGTCTTCAAAATCTTTAAGATCTGAGGATATAGATGGATCAGGATCACAGGAGTTCCAAAAGCTATTATTGGAAGATAACCTTTCTTCCAGAGTCATATTGAAAAGCAATGCAAAAATAGGATTATATAAGTCTTCCAACTTCTGCTGCTGTTTATTCCAATATGCCTTGTGAGGAATATATTTTCTCCAAAATCTGCTCGTTGGGAGTATAACTTGTCGTTTTGAATTTTTGTCTTGGCCACTATTTTTTGAGACTTCCACAATGACATATATAAAGAAATTTACCATCATCAGAATTCCCAGCAATTTTAATCTTCTGCGTCCAACAATCATGTCTCATATCTGGAAAACATTTAAATCAGAAAAATATTTATTAATATAACAAGATCTGCATAAATAGCAACATGGCAGAATGAAAAGCTTAGCAAATTGAGATCTCATCTTCAACAGAACATGCAGTCCTCATTTAGAAAATACCTCAGTTAACAACCATTTGCAATTATAACAATATAAGTAACTGTCTGAAAAGCAAAGAAAGCTGAAGTAAGTACAGTGGTGGTTTCCCAAAGCAACTGCTTCACTTAATGACCAAGTTGCTAGTCCCAATTGTGGTCACTAATCAAGGACTAACTGTAGTCCACAAATACAAAAAAGGCAGTGGAAGTCTACAAAAAGGAAGAGAATTTATATCACTTAAGATCACTCCCTGCAAGAAACATGCTCAGGGCTGTAGAAGAGAAAAACTAGTTACTAAACAATTTTAAGCAATTTTAAAATCTAAGTGACCCATCATTTCACCCTAACTAACAAGGCTTACTACATGCTCAAAAATCCTGTAATTGGTTATGGAGCAAGAATCATTTACATAAAATTAATTGTACAGAAGTGGTAAACAATACAAATGGATCATGTTTCAGTGCTGAACGGCTTCACTTCTCCCCTCCCCCCCACCGAAAGCCACAATGAACAGGACAGTATCATCAATACTGTTGGTAGGTATGCAAGCCTCAAAAATATCCAGAAAGTCTTTCCCCGAAGAATAACTTAATGGTTTTAAAAGCTATAAACTTGAAGACATGGTGTGCAGTTGAATTTCAGCAGTGAGAATAGGGGAGGCTCTGGAAGCTGTCAAAATGATTCAGACATCAGAGGGGATCTAATTCATTCATGCGATGTACGTTAGTAGTTTATTTATCTTTATACTTCTACCACAGTATTCATTTGAGGTTTAAAATGCAATCCTTCCAGCTTAAACTTCTATCAATTCAAAAAGGAATTAGGATATTATCCACATTCCAAAACTGAAAGCAATTCAAACTAGCAGCATAGCTAAAATACTAGTGTGTGATTATTTGTAGAGTTTTATGTAACATGGAAGGGATTTTGAAAAACAAGTCTGGCAGCTATCTTTGTTTTGCAAGTCCTTATTTATATGCTAACAGTATCTCTTGAATTATGCTAATTGTCAGTTATATTTTTAAATATATATATTTATAATCTGCCTTCTAGGTAAGACCATTTAAGAGAAACTCAAATTCAACTCAACATAGAAAGACCAATAGCAAAAGTGTAATCTTTCTCTGATACAAAGACAGATATTTAATGGTGTAACAGGTTAAAATGCTCTTCACAAAACCAACTCCCAATCCAGAAATGAAAATGGAGGCTGTAGTGAAGGAGCAGTTCTTGCTCTCAAAAGTAAACTTCTGAAATACAAAATAAACTTTTTAATATAGCATATTCATTTTTATACATTTTTCTCCTGTACATAAAACCAAATGTGAAAGATAAAAGTTAGTAAGAATTCTCTAACACTGTTTGTTAACTGGTTGGTCCCAAGAATCAATTTCAGTTTACTGGCCTCTATCCAGCCCATTACAGAGTCTGATAAACCCCTGAACTATGCCCCTAATTCTGATTACAAGAAGAGATATAGGTGTCATTCCACATCCAATCTAAACTTCAGCTTGCCACAATTCTGGTTCCAGTGAATGTGAAACCATGCTATACATAGAGTACATTATCAGCCAGTGAGTTTCCATAGCTCAAGATGGATTTAACCTCAACAGTATTTGCCAAGCATCTCCATATTCCCAGAATAGAAACGTAGCTTTCACATCTTCTATAATCTAATGCTTTATTGTCTGTAATTCTGAAAGCTAAGATACCTTCAACTATAGGAAGAAGTAACAATGTATGAAAACAATTTTTTCCTTTCTTCTAAAAAAAAGGAGGGAACGAATTGTCACTGGCTTTAATTAACAGTTGCTTCAATACCATTCTAATTCTAATGGCAGACAGTGAAGAGGAACTAAAACGCCTCTTGATGAGGGTGAAAGAGAAGAGTGCAAAAGTTGGCTTGAAACGCAACATGAAAAAAGAGCATGTCACCTGATTCCATCACTTCCTAGCAAATATAAGGGAAGAAATGGAAGCGGTGACAGATTTTATTTTCTTGGGTTCCAAGATCACTGCAGACCCCAACTACAGCCATGAAATTAAAAGATGCCTGCTCCTTGGGAGGAAAGCTATGGCAAATCTAGACAGCATATTAAAAGCAGAGACATCACCTTGCTAACAAACATGTCCGTATAGTCAAAGCTATAGTTTCCCCAGTAGTAATATGTGGCTGCAAGAGTTGGACTATAAGGAAGGATGAGCACCAAAGAATTGATTCTTTTGAATTGTGATATTGGAGAAGACTCTTGAGTCCCTTAGACTGCAAGGAGATCAAATCGGTCAACCCTAAAGGAAATAAATCCTGACAGTTCTTTAGAAGGTACAGATACTGAAATTGAAGCTCAAATACTATAGCCACATAATGAGAAGACAGGACTCACTGGAAAAGACCCTGTTCTTGGGAAAGATTGAAGGCAAAAGGAGAAAGGGACGGCAGAGGATGAGATGGTTAAATACATAAAAATGTAGGCAAACTCCACAAGACAGTGCAGAACAGGAAGGTCTAGCATACTGTGGTCCATGGGGTCATGAAGAGTCATACATGGCTTAGCAACTGAACAACAAATCAATGCCATTTCATAATTATTTTTAGTAGAAATGAATTAAAGTTTTGCTCTAAAAAAACCATATTTGCAGTACATTCTTCAAAACCGCTTCATAACATTTAGATTAGAACATTTTAAACTGTAAAAGGATTAGTTTGTAAGCAATACATTTTACACTGATTATAACATAATTACTAACAAATCAGCTCTACCTAGAGTATCAATGAAGTTATCAACTTTAATCAGTACCCACAAGTTTCAGCTCAAATCTCTTCAATCATTTCTGCTGGTTCAGCAAATGCTAAATCCTTTGGCACAGGCAAGGCATTTTTGAAAAGGAAGAGGAATTGCTATTCTCTCAGCAGTGGGGAAAGACAGCAAAAAAGGATTTGTGCTGCTTCTTCTTTCTTGTTAAACCTCAGGATGATTTTAATAAGATCAAAACATTTGAATTCCAAGAAGAAAATAGTGGCAGATTTCTTCTGCTGCTTCTCATTCCTTGAAGTTCAAACTTTTAAAAAAAATTTTGTAACAAATTAAATTTTACAAGAATATTCTGTGCATATCTGTATATATACCTCACTCCTGAATTCTATGGCTAATATGCTTTGTTTGCACTGAACATTTGGAGGAAAAGAGGAGAAAAAATAGTTAGGCCTCCCTATTGAGGGTGAGGTACATTGGAAACTGACTTATTTATATTTGTTGGATCTTACATATTTTCCTTGCAGCATTCTTTTCACTATCCATTATAAATGTTAAGGTACAATAATATTCAAAAGAATTTTCCTCACCACAAGATACCTATAATTATTTTTGTTTCTTGATCTTAACTCAAAAATTATGACAAACTCTGCCTTCACCAAGTACCCAACAATTATCTCTTCTCAAACTATTTTATTTGATATTTATTAATACCTGAAGAGTTGGCATGGGGAAAGGGGGGTCGGTTTATTCTCCAAGGCACCTGACAGCAGGACAAGACGCAATGGGAGAAAGCTCATCAGAGGGAGATCCATCCTGGAACTAAGGAGGAATTTCCTGACAGTGAGAACAATTTATCAATGGAACTGTTTGCCTCCTAGATTTATGGGTGCTCCATCACTGGAGATTTTCAAGAAAATATTGGAGAACCATTTCTCAAAGATAGTGTAAGGGCTACTGCCTTGAGCAAGGGGTTGGATTAGAAGATCTCCAAAGTCCCTTCCACCCCTATGATTTTATTTTTAAGAGCCACTGGCTCATCACGCAAGCATAATCTATCAGTTCATTGTTGATTATGCATCTTATATTTCCATACTGCAGGAATATATGAAACATGATACTTGGACTATGGGATAACATTCATATTTAAAAGGTGAGTTCAGTGGGACTTATGGTTGGGAAACTTTATTTGAAAGTAGATGCAGGGCCCATAAACTTCAGAATTTAATTGAGTTGCTCAATAAGATTTCCAGGAGTCAGAAAAATGAAGCTTCATTGCCTTGGTCTATTTGCAGACTGTAATTAAGTCTCAGGTTAATAATAAAATTCTGTCCTCTTGGGATAGAATTTCTTTTCCACTCTCACTGTAGGAGAAAACTGCGGAAAAGTATGAAATTTCTGCATTGTAGTGCTGATTTCAAAAGCTTCTGGATATTCTAGACTTCCGGTCTGGAACCACAGCACTACAGTTGGGGAAATAGCGGGCTCTAATGAGCCTGTGAAAACCCCGACTGACAAACCACTGTCCGATCAGTCTTTGGACCGACCCCGTTTTGTAGGGACGGGGGGAGAAGAGGAGCACCTCGGTGGGCCAAGAGGAACAGGCAAGTTTCTCGGAGGCCAGAGGGAATCCTTAAAGTCGGCGGTGGGGGTAGGCAGCCATGGCGGCTGCCACAAAACTGCGGCGGACTGGGAAAAAGATCGGGAAGAAGAGCGAGTTTCTCGAATGACACCAACCCAGGCAAGAAACAACATAACTACATGGATTTTAACAAATAAGACCCCAAACTTTAAGTAGCGGCTACAGATTCTTGGGGCTTGAAGATTAAGAAGAAAAAAAAAACAATAATGACAGACTTTGTCTTAGTAAATTTGACTTGGAAAAATTGGCTTTTAACAATTTAGAAAATTGGGTTTCTTTTTTAATTGGAATGGATTGGAGGAATGTCCCTTTGGGTGTTTACACCTTTGAAAAGTTAACGAAGCTAATGAAGACAGACGGATGGTTACATAATTGCCATGGAGTCTGCGGTGACTAAGCAGGAGAGTGGATTGAAGAGATCTCCCTTTCGTTTGGAAAAGAAACATTTTAAATGGCTTTTTATCTTGGATTATTTTGAAATTAACATTAGA